GTCCCATATAATGTGTGATGTATGAGTGAAGTTTGAACTTAATCGGTCCATGCATGTTCGAGATACAGGTGATCACGGACGCACGGACGGACGGACGGACGCACACAGGGCAAAACATAAGTCCCCGTTTTCGGACTGCATCCGAACGGGGACTAAAAATGACACAGTCCCCGTTAAATGTTTGAATGTTCTCTTTGTGCTCGTCATATTAAAGCGGAGGGGTTGTCGCGAGCGTGTCCTTGAAACTTGAGTTCCAAGTGCCGTATATAACAGATTGTTTATTTACATCAAAACACGTGTTTCGTGAATGAAAATGGTACATAAATTGTGGAAATATAGTAGTAAGGCCAAAAAGTCAGATGGCTGTCAATCGGCCATCCTTGACTAGATTTTGAAACAAATTGTCATGACATGCATCCTAACATGTATAAAGTACATGTATGTGCCAAATTTGAATGAAAACTGACAAGATACTGCATAAAATCTTTGATCCAATTGCGAAATAAATCGTCATGGACATGTATCCTAACATGAATAATCTATGTACCAAGTTTGAATGACAACTGACAAAGCATGTCCAAATTACAACATTTTACAAAAAACAAGATGGCTGCCAGTCGGCCATTTTGAATCGAATCTCTAAACCACTGCATGTGCATATGTCCCACATAAGGTACTAGGCACATGCAAAGAATGAACGGAATCGGTCCACAGGATTCTGAAATATGACTCTGGACAGACTGACGTACGGACACACGGACGGGCGGACAGACTCAGGAACTCACGAACGGGACATGTATCCTAACATGTATGATCTATGTATTAAATTTGAAAAAAAAACTGACAAAGCATGTCCAAAATACAACATTTTCAAAAAACAAGATGTCTGCCAGTCGGCCATCTTTGATCCAATTATGAAATAAATCGTCACACGGTACGAGGTTTTACCCAGAATTCAAGACATTCTGTACCAACGCATATTGCTATGTGCAGAACTGAAAATTCTGGCATCATTCTGCGCAAAAACAGTTTTTAGCTCGTGAGTTGTTTCCGGGTTCGCCTTCCATGTGCTTATCGTGCGATTTATTGTACCAATATCACATTTTCTGGACGTATTCCTACACAATCATGCCAAGAGCATCCAAAAGAGTCAAGTAGGCAAGTTTAGCCGCAAAATTACGTGGGAAATCGGCTTCAACTGCTCAGTCAATCGCCGATGTTGTCGTCAGCACACAAGATTGTTCGCTTTCCGATCTTTCTTCCGAGATTTTGACTCGATTATTCGGGTTTTGTTGCTTTTTTAATGACAGTGATGAAGATAGTTCACAGTTTGAGAAAAGTTAAAACGATGTGCTCACTTCGAATGGTTTGTAGGCGATTTTATACTATCGTGTCGAATGATTTGTTCGTTATGGGAATGACGACAAGCTCTACTGCCAGCCGTGCTTTTCACTGATTTAAGCTGATGAAGGCGAGATCGCTCGTTGCTAGTGAAATAGGGCAACTTTCCGATTTGATCATTCAAAAAGGGCCATCTCAAGTAAGACAAGTGGTGAGAAATTTGCTGGAAAATTTAAAGGGTCACATATGGGAGGATCAAAGAAATATTTGGAAGTCTCTCTTACAGTTCTATTTAGCCACGAAAAGATCAGCAATTTCTAAGAAAGCCACTGGGAGTCGAGCCACTCAGTAAAATCTTAAATCAGCACCAGGCAGTAGGTGAAAAGTTGTCTAGATTTGATGAGAGTGCCCTTTGGCAATTACGATTAAATAAAGATAAAGCATTTGCCAAATCAGTATTATATGTATCATTTTTCAAGGAAGCCATTACATCAGATATTCTGCCTCCTTCTGTTAAATTGGCTTTATTAGCAGCACCATCTTCCCAGAAATTAGATCAGACTACAGATGACACTAAATTATGGAATGATTCTGAAGCAGAACACATATTTATCCATCTAGGGGGCGGTCTATCTGAAACTGACTATGATGG